CCTTCATCTTAAGTGAGAATAACAGCACAATTGGAAGAGCGTAGTCAGTGTCACTGAACTGTGTATGTAGAAATTTTTGAAATGGTGTATCTTTGGCTACATATATTTTCACAAAAAAAAAAAAAAAGGTCGAGAAGGGAGAGGGTTGACATGTCATGGGGTCGTGGGGTTGTTAACCAATGTCATAAAATAGTATCTGTACTATTTCGTGAGAAACTATTTGTTCTGTAAACCTTCACCTGAAGTACAATTTAAAAAAATAATTATTCAAAAAAAAAAGCCTGTGAGCAGCCATCTAAGATACTCCACTGGTCTCGCCCCTTCTGGAGCAAGGGAAAATGAAGAAAACAAGATACAAGGGAAAGACTAGTCCAAAGGACTAATGGACCACAACTACCACGGCCTCCACCAGACTGAGTCCAGTACAACTAGGTGGTGCCTAGCTACCACCACTGACTGCTCTGACAGGGATTACAACAGAAGGTCCCGGACAGAGCTGGAGAAAAATGTAGAACAAAATTCTAACTCACAAAAGAAGACCAGACTTACTGGCCTGATAGAGACTGGAGAAACCCCAAGAGTATGGCCCCGGGACACCCTTTTAGCTCAGTAATGAAGTCACTCCCGAGGTTCAGCATCCAGCCAAAGATAAGACAGCCCCATAAAACAAAATGGGACTAATGGAGCACAACAGTCCAGGGACAAGGACTAGAAGGCAGGAGGGGACAGGAAAGCTGGTAATAGGGAAGCCAAGGTTGAGAAGGGAGAGTGTTGACATGTCGTGGGGTTGTTAACCATAGTCATAAAACAATATGTGTACTAAACTGTTTAACGAGAAACCATTTGTTCTGTAAACCTTCATCTAAAGTACAATTTAAAAAAAAAAAAAGAAAAAGCTAAAAAGAAAAGTACTCTTCAGAGAATAAGGTCTTTTAAAAATTAAAATGTGATCATAGAAATAATAATTTTTGAAAAACTTCGTGGAAGAGTTTGGAAGATAAAGGTGAGCAACTCTTTCAGAAAGTAGGCAAAGATGCAGAAAGAGGAAAGAAACAAAAATATATACATATGAGCTTTAGAGGCTCAGTTTAACACAACTGCCAACTAATAGGTGTCCCAGAAAGAACAAAGCAAATGGAGAAGAAAATCATGAAAGAAATAAGTCAAGAAAACTTTCCAGGCCTGAAGGTTGTTAAGTTTCCACATAGATAGTACTTTACTAAGTGCCCAGCACAGTAGATGAAAATAGACCCACAACAGGGCAAGTCATGATTTGCTTGCAGAACCCTGGGGTTAAAGCAAAGACCCCGAAAGTTTACAGAGAGGAAAAAAAAAATAGGGCCTATGTAAAGAATCAGGGATCAGAATGTCTTCAGACTTACTGACAACAACACTGGAAACTAGATGGCACTTGAGCAATGCTTTCAAAACTCTGAAGGAAGAGAATTTTCAACCCAGAATTCTATACCCAGGAAACATTTTTAGACATGCTAGCTTCAAGAAATTTAGCTCCTATTTACTTTTTCTCAAGAAGCTACTAGAGGATGCCTATCCACAAAACAAGGAAGTGCACCAAGAAAGAGGATACAGAAAATGGGAAATCCTGTGCAGGAGAGGGTTAAAGGGAATCCCCGGGTGGCAGCTGTGCCCAAGCAGAAGGGTAAACCAAGTCAGAGAGCTCTGGGAGAGACATCTGCAGGACAATGAAATGGATGTTGTACTTGAGGCCTCTGAAATCTTGGAGTTTTTAGGTCCTTAGAAGTGGTTAGGATTGAATTTGGAGTTCCTCGGTGCAAACGGTTAATGCGCTCAGCTGCTAACCCAAGGGTTGGCAGTTTGAGTCCTCTCAGAAGCGCCTCCGAAGAAAGGCTTGGCAGTCTTCTGAAAAATCAGCCATTGAAAACCCTATGGAGCACAGTTCTACTCTGACGCACATGGGGGAGCTATGAGTTGGAATCAACTTGACAGTAACTGGAAAAAAGAAAACTTAGCAGGTAAGTAGATAGGGTAATTAACTCCAGGGAAAACAAAACATTGGACACTGAGTCTCTAATGAGCTTCCTTGGTGGATAACATTTCACACAGTTGTCACAAGTTGCTGCTGGGAAAATTAGGTGTGTCCCATGAGACTCCACAGGAGAGGACTCTGGAAGTTCGTGCCTGGTTTCCCCCAGACTTCACCCCAGATGCCTTTTCCCTTTGCTAATTGTATTCTTATCTCCTTTCACTGAGATAAACCACAGCCATAAGTACAAGTGTACGCTGAGTCCTGGGAGTCCTCCTAGTGAATCATCGACACTGGCGGTAACTTGGGAACCCCAAGATGCAAACATGCTTTCATATTAATTGGTCTGATTTTTCTTTTCTAGTGTGGAGATTGGTGAGAGCGTGAGAGGGGAGGATGTCTATATCATTCAGAGTGGCTGTGGGGAAATCAACGACAACCTAATGGAGCTCCTCATCATGATCAATGCCTGCAAGATCGCATCCTCATCCAGGGTGACGGCCGTGATCCCGTGTTTCCCGTACGCCCGCCAAGATAAAAAGGACAAGGTAGGAGAGGTGTGTCCTGTTCTAAGAACCTCCTCTGGGTTCGTGTCATGATTTTTGTCCTCACATATTTCCTCAATTAAAATATCTGCAAAATGTTTGGTTTCTATCCTAATGGTAGAGTAAATAGACTTTTTCACCTTTTTCAAAGATTTGTCTTTGAGCCAGCCATAATGTTAAGTTAATGTTTATAGAAGTAGAAACAGATGAAGCATATTTTTGCAGGTACTAAAATGCCGTTACCATCCTTGTGATGATGAAACCGACGTGTATCTGTGACTGATACACGAACCTACACGTGTGCTAAAATTGCATAAACACGCACACTAGAAAGTACAGATAAAACTGCTGAAATCTGAATAAGATCGGTGGGTTGTATTGACGTCAAGATCCTGGTTGTGAGAGCATACTAGAGTTTACAAGATGTTGCCCTTAGGGAAAACTGGGTAAAGGGTACGAGGGATCTCAATCTCTTATTTCTTATAACTGCATGTGAATATATAATTATCTCAAATGAAAAGTACGGTCAGGAATAGGAAGAGGATATGGAATGTGTGGCTAATTGAACAACTGCCATGAATAACTGCCTCCTCCGCCATGAGACCAGAAGAACTGGATGGCGCCTGGCTACCACTATTGAACATGTTGATCAAAGAGTCTATAGCGGAATCTTGATCAAAAGGGGGAAAATGCAGAACAGAATTTAAAATTTTAATGGACTCCAAACTTTCTGGAGCTATAAAGGCTGGATTAACTCCTGGAACCATTGCCCTGAGATAATCGTTAAGCCTTAAACCAAAAATATCCCCTGAAATCTTCTTAAAGCCAAACAGTAGTTCAACTTAACTAGTGAAAAAAAGTCTGCCTTGAGCATTATGCTCTTTTAAGAACTATCTATATGGGATCAAAGTGACAACAGCAACTTGAAAGATTAGATAGGAACCTTATGGGGCAGTGGGTTTATATTAATGAAGGAGGAACTACTCAGAAAAGGAGGGTGAGGATGGTTGCCCAACTTGATGAATGTCATCAATGTCACTGAATTCTACATGTAGAAATTGTTGAATTGGTGTATGTTTTGCAGTGTATATTCTCAAGAACAACAAATAAAATTTTCAAAACTAGAAAAACATAAATAAAAAGTTTAAAAAATACCGTTGTCTCTTTTTAACCTTTCAAGAAGAGTGAAGTTGATACTGCTGAATTATTCTTTCAGCAATGTTAGCGTTGCAGGAGGGTCTGTGAATCTTTAGAAGATATTGAAGAAGACATGGTTTTTGCCCTCGAGATATCTCAGAGAAGTTGGAGTTCTAGGGGAACTTTCAAGGGGACCAAGTGTAAGCCCTTTTCTCCGCTGTATTTCTAATGGATAGATGTGTAGTCAGGGTCTGTATAAATTCTTCCAGTTTATAAAAAGTACTGTTCTTCTGTGATGTGGTAACTAAAATTGTGAGAATGTTTTCCCCCTGTACACCTCAGTTTATCTCCCTAAATTGTTTTCTGAAACAACCCAAATTTCTGAAACCACACACACGGGATCCCCTTGGATATGCAAATAGCCCTTTATGAGTTTGAATTCATATACCAAGGTCTCCCTAGATTTTTAACCCCAACTTCTTCAGGAGTAGTTTTCAGACGCTGTGCTGAACACAAGCTAGTCAGTTAATTTCTCATTAAACATTTTGTCTCCAGAAGTGCATTCAGCACTGGAGATGGGATTTAGCCTGTATAGCTCAGAAGGGCTTGGCAGACTTTTTCTGTAAAGAGCTGTACGATCTCTGCAACTATAAAACTCTGTGGTTGTAGCACGAAAGCAGCCACAGACAATACATAAATGAACGGATGTGGCTGTGTGCCAATAAAACTTTATTTCTGGGTATTGAAATTTGAATGTCATGTAATTTTCCCGTCCCATGAGATACTTTTTTTTTTTTTAACTATTTAAAAATGTAAAAACCATTGTTAGCTTATATGCAGTACAAAAACAAGTGGCTCGGCCCACGGGCCATGATTTGCCAACCCTTAGATTACAGCATTGTTTGGTCTTTGTGTGTGTGGTTGTCACTTCGTGACCTAACTTTAGCTTGTGAGTAGTTAAAACCTTCCGTCACAAAGCCATGTCCTCCTACTTGTTATATATGCAGTTTCTTTCATTCTAAACTTAGTTCTGAAGTTTTATGTGTATTTTTAGCTGCTAAATTTCCATTTTGTATTTGTCCCATCAGTATGGCCTGTAGTCTGTTGTCGTAGGCATTCACTCGTGTGTTACCACAGGCTTGGGTAGCATCTTGCCGTCGAGCTGATTCCGACCATATTCTGTTACTGTTTCTCTTCCGTGGGGCAAAAGATTTAATAAAACCTCACATTCTAACTGTGTTTCTAACCAAGTTCTCCTTTCATTTCTACCAGGTTTTGCATTTTGTATTTGGCACTAAGATATTTGATACATACAAGCATGGCACCATTGTATCTTCTCCAGTAGATCTTTGCTTTTATCATTACATGGCCCTTTTCCATCGTTCCACGATCTGTAACTCTGAGTTCCTCTTCGATTGATGTTAATGTTGCACCTACCTTTCTTGTTTGCAAGTACCCCGAGCCACTGCAAACAAACAGCCCTACAGAGTTCTTCAAGCCCCAGTGGGTTAGCTAGGCTGTGGAACCTTAGCTGTTTACCTCTTTTCCTATTGGCAAACACTGAGATGGGCTTTCCATTTTTAGCCATTATCAAGCATATGTTTCTTTTTCTTCAACTTAATCACGATGCTGTAAGAGTGTTTCTTGGTAACAACACAGTAGCTGCCTTTAGTTTTTTGCTCCAGTCAGACGATTCCATGGCTTTCCCAGCTTAAACTGATGATTGAACAGAGAAGGTTTACCTCAGTCGACAGCACAGAAGCAAGGATGCAGTAACTTGGAGAGACTGCTCGTGTAGAGGCTTAGGGAATCCCTAGTTTAGGAAATCCTGTAGTTTGTTGTTAGAAAAAACTGATAGAAAAGAGGAAGGCTAAGGGGGGTGTAGGAACCCTGGTGGCACAGTGGTTAAGCGCTCGGCTGCTAACCAAAAGGTCAGCAGTTCCAATCCACCAGCCGCTCCTTGGAAACCCTCTGGAGCAGTTCTCCTCAGTCCTGTAGGCTCGCTATGAGTCGGAATTGACTCGACGGCAGTGGGTATGAGGAACATATAGTCTAGTTATGAACTCTGCCATCTATGCGTATCACATCTTCAACATCGATTTTCCAGCAGACATCTAAGGCAGTCCCAAATGGAAGGGGTCGCTTTAGAGGGGAGGGAGTCTTTTTTTTTTTTTAATGATGTATTCATTGTTGAGAATTTATACAGCAAAAACATACACCAGTTGAAGTTTCTCCATGTACAATTCAGTGACATTGATGACATTCTTTGAGTTGGGCAACCATTCTCACCCTCCTTTTCTGAGATGTTCCTCCCACATTAACATACACTCACTGCCCCACAAAAAGGTGGGAGAGACTATTTCTATCTCAAGTTCTCTGAGTGCTTTAATGTTGGAAGATTGGAGGCAGACAGGAAGAATCAAAAGCCTTGGAGCAGGCGAGATGGGGGAGAGGAGGCAGGGTGTGTGAGGGGCTGCCTTCAGAAGAGGCCAGGTTTAAAGTCTTCTCTAGAAAAGGACAGTGGGCATGCCCAGTGCACACCACAGGGAGGGTCCCTGGAACACAGGCGGGGGAAAGGAATGGATCTAAGTAGGTGAGACCCAGACTGGCCAAGGAGCTTTGGATATTAAAGCTGAGAAAATGCAGTTTTATCCCAAAGGTGACGTAGAACAGGGCAGTTCAGGGACGTCTAACAGGGCAGTTAATGCAAACATGAGTTAACAATACATGGATTGTAGAGAGGGCAGTGGTAGTTCAGTGGTAGAATTCTTGCCTTCCATGCGGGAGACCCTGGTTCGCGGCCACCACCCATCTGTCAGGGGAGGCTTGTGTGTGGCTGTGATGCTGAACAGGTTTCAGCGGAGCTTCCAGACTAAGACAGACTAGGAAGCTTGTGTGTGTGTGTGTGTGTGTAACAAAGATCATTTATTTGTTGCTATTTTGAATAAAATCTTTTTTAAGCTTATATTTTTTGTTGCTGATGCATAGGAATGCTGTTGTTTATAGCAAAATGCTGAACTCTTGTTACCTGGTCTAGTCCCATGTCTGTAGTGTCTCTTGGGTCTTTCTGAATATGGACAGTCTTGTTGTCCACTTGTATGATACGGAAATTAAAGCTATAGAGCAGTTTTAAAAACCAGTTGCCGTAGAGTCGTCTCCAGAACTCATGGTGACCCCGTGTGTGTGAGAGTAGAGCTGTGCTCCACAGGGTTATCAGTGGATGACTTTTTGGAAGGAGATCTCCAGGCCTTTCTTCAGAGGCCCTTCTGTGTGGACTCAAACCTCCAACCTTTTGGTTAGCAGCCAAGTGCGTTAACGGTTTGTACCACCCAGGGCCTCCATGGAGACGTTAAGTAGCTTTAAAAAGGACTTAATGTCAATAATAATGACACTTCTATTTCTCTGGATATTATAAATCACTTCAAGGAGTGCCTCGTCCATCTGGTTTTTGTTTATAATCATGTTCGCTTCCAGCTGTCAGTATGTATACTCTGGTTTAATAGCTAACCTTGGCCTTGAGGGCTTTACACGATCTGCCCCTGCCTCCCCTTCTGGACTCATCTTATACATCTCTCCTTGACCACTGCCTGTGGCCACGAGGGGCTTTGTTCAGTCCCCTGAATGTGTGATTACATGTGCTGCTTTCGCTCTGGAATGTTCTCCCTGCCTTTGCCCGTCTCACCTTAAAAGTGATTTCCTCAGAGGGGCCTCTAACAGAGGTCCTGTTTAAACTTTATGTCCTTCCTGCTATTGTCTCTCTCTCACTACCTGTTATTTTAATTCTGCGCACTTATCGCAATTTGAATTATACACATTGTGCTATCCCATGTAGACAGGTAGTCCCCGACTTATGACGTATTTGAGTTAGAATGAACCGCACTTACGGCCGTCTATTTTTTTGTTTTATATCTTATCATTAGTAATATGTACTGCGTACAATGTTGGAGTGCATAAAAGGACCAGACAGACAACTCTCCCTAATTTTCTGACTAGAAACGCCATTCCCATTCCTAGGAATAATCCAGATGATCCAGAAGCTTCCACAAGTGGAGTTATTACCAGAACTGACGAAATGCCAACATCATCCACTTTTTTTATGGACATGAGTATTTTTTTAATGTATGTATGTATGAAAATATATCTGTAAGTTTATATGTAATGTTTCCAACCCCTCAAAACAAATAAAGATCGGATCTATAAAGATACTGATGATAAAAGGCAATAATAATGAAAATTAAAAAAAAAAAGGTACTCTACTTATGTCAGAACCGACTCACGACAGTCATCGGAACGGAACCCAGTCATATGTCAGGGACTACCTGTATATTTAACAGTTTGTGTATTTGGTATTTGGTTTGTTCTCAACTGAATATCCATGCCAAACACATTGTCTCACGATAGTATATGATCAAAAAGTATTTGATGGATAAAAATGGAATGGATGTATCTGTTTTGTTACTACAACATGTGTTGTGGTTGTTGATTTTGTTGTGTGCTGTCAAGTCATTTCTGACTCACGTTGTTGTTAGGGGCCATCGAGTCGGTTCCGACTCATAGCAACCCTGTGTACAACAGAACGAAACACTGCCCAGTCCTGCGCCGTCCTCACAGTCTTGCTGCGTTTGAGCCCGTTGTTGCAGCCACTGTCTCAGTCCGTCTCGTTGAGGGTCTTCCTCTTTTTCGCTGACCCTCTCTACATTACCAAGCGTGATGTCCTTTTCAGGGTCCCTCCTGATAACACGTCCAAAGTATATGAGACGAAGTCTCACTATTCTCGCTTCTAAGGAGCATTCTGGCTGTACTTCTTCCAAGACTCATAGCGACCCCAAGTGACAGAGTAGAACTGCCACATTGAGTTTCTTAGGCTGTAATCTTTATGGGAGCAGATCGCCAGGTCTTTTCTTCTGCGGAGATGCTGATGGGTTCAAACCACCAACCTTTTGGTTAGCAGCTGAGCACTTAACCATTGCGCCATCAGGGCTCCTTTACAACGCATGCAACTTTATTATTTGTGTTGATTTTCTCTTGTGATTTGTCTTTCTCACGTACCTCTTAGCGGGAGCAGTCTCACTGTGTCCATCTTTTTCCTTCCCTTTGCCCGTTGTAAAATTCATGCCTTTATTTTTTAGAGCCGTGCTCCGATTTCTGCAAAACTTGTGGCCAATATGCTCTCGGTGGCTGGGGCAGATCACATCATCACCATGGACCTGCATGCCTCTCAGATACAGGTACCAGCAATATATTTCTTTCTGTTGCTTGTGGTCAGGAGTTTTAATGAGAGTGCTTAAATCCTAACTCTGTTAACTTTCAAACTTTTAGACGGAGGTACTTGTGCTTGAGTTCGTATATGACTACGCTGTTAGATTTTCTGGTCTTTACTGAACTTGGAAATATAATTTGACGTTAATAGTGTCTGTCTCTACCATCACCATGCCCCCATCTTAGTTTCCCTGCTTTAACAGAAATACCACAAGTGAATGGCTTGAAAGAACAGAAGTGTATTTTCTCACAGTTCTGGAGGCTAAAGGCCGTATCTGGGTCTCGGCCATGTCAGTTCCTTCTGTGGGCCTCTCTTCTCGTTGCTGGTAGCTGCCACAATCCTTGGTGTTCCTTCGCTGCTTACAGATGTATCTGCCTGGTTGTTACATGGTGTCCACCCTCTGTGTGGGTGTGTCTCTATAGTTGTCGTTCTTTATAAGACACCACTCAGAGGGGATTAGGTTTAGGACCCATCCTACTTCTGTAGGATGTCCTCATTAACATAGCAAAAGAAAGACCCTTATTTCCAAACAGGATCGCATTCACAGGTACCGGAGTTAGGATTTCAACGTATGTTTTTTTGAGGGGCACAATTCAATCCATAATACCCTCCAGTCAATTTTAGAGAAGTAGGAATGGCTTCTTGGTTTAAAAAAAAAAAAAAGCCAGGTGCCGTTGCGTCATCTCTAACTCATGGTGACCCCGTGTGTGTCAGAGTAGAACTGTGCTTCCTAGGGTTTTCAATGACTGATTTTTCAGAAGTAGATCGCCAGGGCTTTCTTCCAAGGCGCTTCTGGGTGGACTTGAACCTCCAACCTTTCGGTTAGCAGCCGAGCACTTAACTGTTTATACCACTGAGGGCCTCCTTGGTAGTAAGCTCTACGTAATTCCACCCCAACTTCTGGAAAGTGGTTAGAATGGCACAGTCGTAATGTATGTTCTTTAACGTCTTCGTAACTTAGCTCCTTCATCTGCACAACAGGCCAAATTATACTGTACTCGGTCTGGGATGTGTAATGAATATGTAGCATTTGGTTTATAACGATCACTTAAGAAATGACAGATCTCCCCGTCCCCACCCCCCACTGCCCTGCAAAGCCACTCTTACCCTTCAGAAACACAGAAAATGTAAAAAGTCCATAAGATAACAGATCGGATGGCAGTATGCTGCTGGAACGTAATCTGGCTTTTTATTTACTTCTATTAAAATTAAAAGGGAATCTGTTATTGAGGTTTCTTCTGAATAACAAATCCACATTTTATTGAATAAAAGAGATTATCTTTCCAAACCAAACCCTGCAACGCGGTGCTTGTGTCTCCCTGAAGGGCTTCTTCGACATCCCCGTGGATAACTTGTATGCGGAGCCCGCGGTCCTGCAGTGGATCCGGGAGAACATTGCCGAGTGGAGGAACTGCATCATCGTCTCCCCGGACGCAGGCGGCGCCAAAAGGTAATGCACACACTGCACACTGCTGGGACCTGCCTTTGGAGATTGACAGTCCTTTTCCTACCAGGAGTTCTGATGGCACAGTGGTTAAGTGCTGGGCTGCTAACCGAAAGGTCGGTGGTTCGAACCCATCAGCCACTCCATGGGAAAAAGACTTGGCAGTCTGCTTCTGTAAACATTACAGCCTTGGAAACCCTATGGGGGCAGTTCTACTCTGTCCTACAGGCTCCCATGAGTCAGACTCGACTCAGCAGCAGTGAGTTTGGTTTGGGTTTTCCTACCTGTAGAGAAGGAAGTGTGTCTTAAATCGTTGTTGTTGTTAGGTGTCGTGGAGTCAATTCCAACTCATAGCGACCCCCATAGGGTTTCCTAGGGTGTAATCTTCACAGAAGCAGATCACCAGGTCTTTCTCCTGTGGAGCCGCGGGTAGGTTTGAACCACCAGCCTTTCGATCAACAGCTGAGCGCTTAACCATTGTGCCACCAAGGCTGCTCTTGTGTTTTAGATTACTTAACACTTATTTTGCAAATAAGTAGACTACCAACTTCTCCTCCAGAACCGAAATTTGTTAACATTGCATCGTTTATGAAAGAAAAGGTTATTTTGGTGTCAGCAGAGAATAGATATATTTGGTTGGGGTGTTTTTTTTTTTTTTTTTTTGAAAAGTTCTTTTCTTCTGATGATAAAAGTAATGAGCCTAACTGGAAACTAAGGCTTTTAATGAATTAACATCACACCTAACTGAGCTAATCCTTCCTACCACAAACACTGGAAAATGGTAGCCAAAATAGAACACACTTAAAAAAAGAAATCGGTGTATGTAGAGCACCAAGAAAGAAAGGGAAATGTTAGAGGCCCAGAAATAAAGAAGGGACTGAAAGAAGCCGTGCATGGGGATCCCGGGGCAGGGGGCACACAGGAGGTGGGGGGGAGGATCATGAGATCTAAGAAGAGGCTGGCGGCTTGGATTCTAATGCTCATGGAGGGACCTCCATAAAGAAGGGGAATGAATGCGAAACTTTTACCCACCAGTCCAGGGAAAAAGCTAGGAGGCTTGCCTTTGTACCTGGACCTTTGAATGGGGAGAGAAAATAACCTCCCACGAGAGACGAAAACCCAGAGCCTACACCACCTGCAGATTTGCGTGGAAACCTGCATTTGGCAGAAGGAATTCCTTTGCAGAGAAAATTCACATAAAAGTTGGTCTCGGGCTGCAAAGCCACATTCCAGGGAGAATTCTACAACCGCAGCGCTCTGTAAGCACACCCTCTGCAGATGACTAAGAATTCAGAGTTAGAACACAGGGAATAGGGAAGCAGCCTGCCAATACCGTGGGGTCATAGAACAATTTGCCAAACTCTAAAATAAGCAAGTTTACAAATCAACTGAGGCAAAAAAGGGACAGGCACCTGCGTGGTACTAAAAGAATCGTCTTTGAAGCCCGCTGCATTGCATGAGAAAATAGCACTGAAGAGATGCCCTAGAAGGAATTACTGAGCAGTCAGGGCGCTAGCTGGTCAGACTCAAGGATGCGGGTAACAGAGAATGCCGATCTGACCCACAGCACGTACTGTAGGGTGGGACTTGGTGATGCCAAGTGACCTCGTAGAACTTTGCAGCTGCTATCTGGAAAGAAAACAAAAGTGGAATGGGCCGTTAATGGCCAGGTGAAACCAAAATCAGTTGCTGTGAAGCTGGCTCTGATTCATGGCGACCCTATGTATGTCAGCAGAACTGTGCACCAGAGTTTTCAATGGCTGAGTTTTTGGAAGTAGATCACCAGGCCTTTCTTTTGGGTGCGTCTGGGTGGACTCAAACCTCCAACCTTTCTGTTAGCAGCCAAGTGTGTTAACCGTTTGCACCACCCAAAGACTCCAATGGCCAGGTAGCGGCCTCCGTAAAGAAGGGAGATGAAAGAGAGATCTGGGTACAAGGAGCCAGCCAGAAGGGAAGGCAGCTTGCAGGCGTGGGCTGTGGAAGCGTGTGGATGAGGGTGCCGGGTGACCGGCAAGCTTTGGGATGTCTTTAAAATGCAAATGCCTGTCCCTTGTTTGGTACCCTCCCCCACATACAGCCCAGCTGAGGACCTGGAGCCAAGAGCACCCCCGAAAGCTGTTGTGGAGCAAGGCAGTGTGGGCCCTGGTTCTTAGAAGGGCTGAGTGCTCTCAGTTTGTCTGATGGGGCTGCTTGGTTCCCAGCACCAGGGGTGGGGAGATGGGTGAGCTGGGGCTGCAGCTGCAGAGGGGCCTCTGACAGCAGCAGGAAGTGGCCGTTGACAGGAAGGAGACACCTATAGATGAAAGGCGGAAGCAGGCACTTAGCTCAGAAAGCCCCCAGACGGGCCGCGATAGGGTTTGCACAGTACTGCGTGATGGCCACAAAATGGCCCTTGACCAGGGACGGCGAGGCCCGGTCACAGAGTGTCGTCCGGTGAAAAAAGCAGGGAGTGGGGAAAACATGCCGGTAATTTCTACTAAAATGTGTGCAGTTTACTTGGACCACTTATTCAGTGAATCTGCATTCACATATGACTCGTACTGGCCTGAGCGCAGGTTCAAGGTGGAGAAGTGGGTCAAGGGGCACATCAGCACAAGAAGATGGAATGTTTGAAGAACTAACAGCTTGATTGAGATACAGCCTGCATACCATACAGTTCACCATTTAAAGTGTGTGATTCGGTCTTGTATAATCACAGAGTTGTGCAGCCATCAGCACTAATTCCAGAACATTTTGTCACCCCAAAAAGAAACCCCGCGCCCATTAGCAGTGACTGCCTGTTCCCCCTTCTTCCCAGCCCCTGACACCACTTCTGTCTGGAAACTGCTTTCTGTCTCTATGGGTTTGCCTCTTCTGAAGATTTCCTGTAAATGGAATCATACAATATGTGGCCTTTTATGCCTGCTGTATTTCTTTTTTTTTTTTTTAAACCTGAAAAATAATTTTGGCAGCTAATAAGCTAGAAGAATAATAGATGCCACGAACTTGTGTGGCTTTTTCCTTTCCTATTCCAACTCTATTTTTCATATATAATCTAAAAATATCATCCATGCTCTTAGCAAAAATTCTTGTGTCAGTCCATCTCACTGAGGGTTTACCTCACTTTCTCTGACCCTCTACTTTACAAAACATGATATCCTTGACTAGCGATCAGTCTTTCCTGATGATGTATGCATATATTTTCAAATATATCTCCCCCCTTTTTCCTCAAATGATAATGTGCTGTACACGTGTCTTCATTGTGCTTAAAAAAAATCACTCTCTCTTAGCAGTGATTTCATTGCTGTGCAGTAGGTCTGGTCTGTTGTTTTTTACAGTTACGTAATATTCCGTTGTGCGCGTGTATCATACTTCTTTCCACTGGTTACCTGTAACCCACTTGTGGGTACTGTTGTTCGTTCGTACTCTTGAGTGCAGCCCTGCAGCAGTCTGCTTGCTGTCTCCATGTTGTGGACACGTACAGAAGGATGCTTTCCTAGAAGACACAACAGTTGACATTCCCGTCAAGTACGACTGCAAGTGACTTTTCCTTGCTCACACAGTACGTTATCAAGCGTGTTTTGTTTGCAAATCCAGCACGTGATATGTGGCATCATTTCATGTTAATGCCGGCTGCTGTGGGCAAGGCCGAGGGCCCTTCCCGTGAGTGGTCTGTTCATACCTTCTGCCAACTGACTGTTCCATTCACCGGAGGTCTTTTCATATTGATCATTAGGAGTTCTGCACAGGGAGGAGAGCCAAGCTTTGTTTCTTGTGTGCTGCGAACACTTCCCCAAGAGTTTCATTTCTTCCCCTTTTTTGTGTGTTTAGTTTCTACAAGAACTTTCCAAAATTCTTAGCTCGTCAGATTTATCTCTTCTTCACATTATGACTTCTGAGTTCATAAAAGATTCACACTTCCTTTAAAAGTTTTCTTCTCCCATGATTCTTCTTCTGTCTTGAGGGTTGTCTTTATCTTTTTTGTTGTTGAGAATGTACACAGCAGAACATAACACCATTTCAACTGTTTCTGTGTGCTCGATTCAGTGACATTGATGACATTCTTCAAGTTGTGTAACCATTTTCCACCTCCTTTTCTGAGTTGTTCCTCCCCCATTAACACAAACTCCCTGCCCCCTAAGGTTCCTATCTAATCTTTCCAGTTGCTGTAGTCAATTTGATCCCATGTAGTAACCTTTTAAAGAGCATCTCAAGGCAGACATTGTGTACTCGTTAAGCTGAAGTCTTCTGGAGATATTTTTGGTTTAAGTTTTAAAGATTATCTCAGGACAATAGTTTTGGGGGTTCATCCAGTCCCCATGGCTCCAGAAAGTCTAGATTCCGTGAGAATTTGAAATTCTGTTCTACGTTTTCCTCGTTTTCATCAAAATTCTTCTATAGAATCTTTGCTTAAAATATGCCTTTTATCTTTTTTAATGTTCTAGTTTTTCTTCCATCTGAAATTTAGAATTAAAAAAAAATCAGTTGCCTCGACTCTTGACTCCAACTCATGGTGACCGCATGCGTGTCAGAGTAGAACTGTGCTCCATAGGGTTTTCAGCGGTTGATTTTTCAGAAGTAGGTCACCAGGCCTTTTTTCCGAGGGTGGATGCAGACCTCCAACATTTTGGTTAGCAGCGGAGTGCAGTAACCGTTTGCACCACCTAGGGGCTCCGTTTTGGAATAAGGAGTGAAATAAGAATCCAACTCCCCACCCCGAGACCCAGCTATCTAGTTGCTCCAAAACTATTCATTCATCTTTTCCCTACTGATCTGAAATACTACCTTTTATTACATACTGTTAGGTGCTGTCAAATCAATGTCAACTCAGCAAACCCATGTAACAAATTAGAACTGCCCCATAGGGTTTTCTAGGCTGTAATCGTTATGGAAGTAGATTGCCAGGTCTTTCTCCTGTGGAGCCCCTGGGTGGGTTCAAACCATCAACCTTTTGGTTAGCAGCTGAGCACTTAACCCTTATACCATCCAGTGCTCTTTTTCCCCTATCTATTTGCCAACCTCTAGTTTTAAAAAAATGCAGAATCAACTACCCAGAGTAAATGGCCAGGATCGAGGTGCTGTTTGGTTCAGACAGAGCACAAACACCATTGCCGTCGAGTCAATTCCAACTCATAGCGACCCTATAGACAGAGCAGTCCCATTCAAACCTCCCCCACCCCCACCCCCCGCCCTGTGCTCCCTCTGCCAGGAAAGCCACGCTTTTTAGGAACGGACATTTTGTATTTTTTGCCACCTTCCCCCGTTTTTCAAAGTTTCTGCTTCTTATCATTGATACCCTGGAGTGGGCCGTTCCCAGCTGATAGGTCCCTGAGAACAGCTGTGCAGTAATGCAGGATACATGTAGTTGATATTACTTGTGGCTTACTTGCATGTTGCAAAAAATCCTGTTTCACCAAAGAAAATGCATGTCTATCTGACAAATTGCAGCTTGTTGCTTAGAGGCTTTACTGGTTCCAGGCAAAACCTCATGTGGCCACAAGAGGGCACGCGAACTTTGCTGCATGCTCCCTGCTCAGGGTAACTCCTGCTTCTGCAGTCTCCACCTCTGCCGCCTCTGCACCATTTCCAGCCCAGTGATGCCTTTGTAACGTCTTTCCCTTTAAATCTGGGATTTTAGTTGTTCCCATCGGGAAGGGTAACCAGGCTGCCTAGTCAGCCGTTGTGCCAAAACGTGCTCTTCCATGTCACCCAGAAATGGAGATCTTTCTAAATGGAATAAAAGTGGCCTTGCCTTAGGCCTCATTTTCATCTACGTCTCTTGCTTGAGATAATATCCTCGCTAATTCCAGTCTAGAAAATGAGCAGTGAGGCCTGAAATAGTGCTGTTTTCTTTGGTCAAATTGTAAAGGGTGTGGTTTGAAGCTATTAAAATACAGCCGTATTTCTCCACCAGACTGAGTCCAGTACAACTAGATGGTGCCTGGCTACCACCACTGACTGCTCTGACCGAGATCACAACAGAGGGTCCCAGGCAGAGCTCGAGAAAAATGTAGAACAAAATTCTAACTCATTAAAAAAGACCAGACTTACTGGCCTGACAGAGACTGGCGAAACCCCGAGAGTATGGCCCCTGGACACCCTTTTAGCTCAGTAATGAAGTCACTGCCGAGGTTCACCCTTTAGCCAAAGATGAGACAAGCCCATAAAACACAATGAGACTAAAGAGGCACACCAGCCCAGAGGCAAGGACTAGAAGGCAGGAGGGGACAGGAAAGCTGGTAATAGGGAACCCAAGGTTGAGAAGGGACAGTGTTGACATGTTGTGGTGTTGTTAACCATTGTCATAAAACAGTATGTGTTCTGTTGAATGAGAAACTATTTGTTCTGTAAACCTTCATCTGAAGTACAATTAAAAAATAAATAAATGCGGCCGTGTTGAGATACCTCAGAAATGAGAGGGTACCCCAGAGTTACCCCTGTGCTGCTGCTCAGCCCAGAAAGTCCCTTCCTGTCTGAGACTTGGTGCTGTCCCCTTGAGCAGAGTATGCAGGAAATTGCCTTCCTGGCTGCCTTCTTGGATGATGCAATGAAGGGGACCCGTTGCTGTCAAAAAAAAAAAAAGGGACAAGTTCTTTAAAAATCAGCTTGTGAAAGTCGCATCTTCCACTCACTGCATGGAAGTAATTGTGTGAGGGTGGGTTCCTCAGTAAATAGTTTTTCAGTTGTTGAATTGCATAATGACTGTTACTTTAAAAACTGAAATAGGAAAATCTCACTATTAATATCACAGTGTATCTACGGCAGTATTTCAAAGTAAGTTTTCTCATTTAAGTCCACTTTTCAAAGGAAAAGAGGTTCCTAGGTGGTGCAAACAGTTACTGCGCTTGGCTGCTAAGCAAAAGGTTGGAGGTTCAAGTCTGCCCAGAAGCGCCTCAGAAGAGAGAGGCCTGGCAATCTACTTCCCAAAAACCAGCCATTGAAAATCCTATGGAGCACAGTTCTACTCTGACACACATGGGGGTGCCATGAGACACAGTCGACTTGACAGCAGCTGGTTTGGGTTCAAAGAAGAAACCAAAATGCCCGGGCTCACACCAAGCTTGGCCTGCCCACGCTCTTTCTGCTGCTGGTTCAGCCCCTCCCAGCCAGAGACTTCCTGAGTGTTGCCGTAGACGGGCAGAGTCTCCTTAGGCCCCAAGTGCAGTGAAGCCTGTTTTCACAAGTCTGCATATTACAATGGATGCTTTAACCAAGGACTTCCGTCCCTGCTCCCCGCTCCACAAACTGAGCAAATGGTTGTTCCTGAGTAGCTTACTTTAAGCTGTGCTTTGAGTTGTTTAAAAGTACCCACGAACACTAACAAATTGTGAATTGATTCTTAGCTGGTAGTTGTGGGGTCAAGGTGCCTGGCATCCATTATAGCTGCCATGAGTTGAGGGTCACATCACTAGTACTTTTTTCCCACCATGGATTGTTTCCTGTGAATCCCAGACCATTCCTGGCTTACAGAAAACCCCATTGCCATCCAGTTGATTCCAACTCCTAGCGACCCTATACGACAGAGTAGAACTGCCCCATAGGGTTTCCAAGGAGCAGCTGGTGGTTTCGAACTGCCGACCTTTTGGTTAGCAGCTGAGCTCTTAGCCACTGTGCCACCAGGGCTCCTGGCTTACAAAGGAGACCAGGTTTCTCCCCATTATTTTACATGTGGCTGGTTACTACGCTTCTAAGATACAATTTAAAGACGTGTCCGTTTGCATCTTTGTGCAGGGTGACGTCGATTGCGGACAGGTTGAATGTGGAATTTGCTTTGATTCACAAAGAGAGGAAGAAGGCGAATGAAGTGGACCGGATGGTTCTGGTGGGTGACGTGAAGGACCGCGTGGCCATCCTGGTGGATGACATGGCCGACACCTGTGGCACCATCTGCCATGCCGCAGACAAGTACGTGGAGTGCTCTGGGGACGCGGATGAAAAGGGTTAGGGCACCTCGTTAAGGGGAAAGAAAAGGTCAGCTTTTAAAAATTGGGCCTGTTTTTCTTAATCATTTCTGATTGCTTGACAGTGGAGTTTTAGACGGAAGTAGATTCTAGGCCCATTTATTTTTATCATTTTCTTGGTAGGAAAGAAACCACAGGCCTTTGTGGTCTGATTTCCATTTTCAAAGTTGAGTTTCAGTGTATTAAAAATGATCTGTGAAGGTGCTTCGCCTAAAGCTGAGCACAGAAGGAAAGACAGTCCTGTGGGCTGCTTCATGTCTTTGCTTCCTTCTGCTTGGCCTTCCCTCCGCTCAGCTGCCGGGGGATGCCGAGCCCCGCTGTCCAGAGTGTGGGCCGCGCCAGCCCATGTGGCTGCTGAGCCCTGGGGCTGGGGCCAGTCCAAAGTGAGATGTGCCAGAAGGGGAAGAGACACACCAGGTTTCAAAGACTTGCTGTTGTTCTTAGGTGCTGTCGAGTCGATTCCGCCTCCTAGCGACCCCATGTACAACAGAACGAAACACTGCCCAGTCCTGCACCATCCTCACAGGCGCTGCTATGCTTGAGCCCATTGCTGCAGCCACTGTGTCAGTCCATCTTGTTGAGGGTCTTCCTCTTTTTTGCTGACCCTCTACTTTACCAAGCATGATGGCCTTCTCCAGGGACTGGTCCCTCCTGATAACATGTCCAAAGTACTCACCATCCTCGCTTTTTTATGTTGATTACATGTCAAAATGATGATGTTTTGGCTATATTAGGCTAATCCAGTGGTTCTCAATCGGGAATGATTTTGCTCCCCCCACCCCCACCCCCGGGGGATATCTGGCAATGTCTGGAGACGTTTTTGGTTGTCACAACTTGAGTGGAGGGTGCTATAGGTGTCTAGTGGGTACAGGCCAGGGATGCCGCTAAACAGGTGAAAAATGATCTGGTCCCAAATGTCGAGAGTGCTGAGGTTGATTTAATGGAATACAAGGCGCTCTGCTAACATACTGAAAAAGGCCCTGCTTCCGGCTAATAAATGTGAGTGAAATTTGTTTCAAGTTTTTCTTTATGGAACACACCTCTTTTTCACACTAGAGGAGAGTGTTTCTAGAATATTTGTGTACACGTACTTAATTGTTTATCTTCTGTTTTACAGGCTACTCTCAGCTGGAGCCACCAAAGTCTATGCTATCCTGACCCATGGAATCTTCTCTGGGCCAGCCATTTCTAGAATAAATAATGCTGCCTTTGAGGCTGTGGTTGTCACAAACACAATTCCGCAAGAGGACAAAATGAGACACTGCTCCAAGATTCAGGTAGCATCTCCATTGTGAGAGGAGCTAAGCAGCGAGGTCCCCGCCTCGGATCCCTTCTGTGTGTGACTGCTTAGTGAGGCAGATGCGGGCAGAGGCTGTAGCACCTTGTAACGTGAGACACTAAACCCGTGAGATCCCTGCCAAAGGCCAGGGCCTTCAGAAGCCAGTGTCGGCTATTTGGAAACAGTGAGTGAGTAAAATTGTAATAGAAAACCAGGAAGAAGCAGGCAGTGCGAAGGATCTTCTGAGCTTTGCTCCTCCTCGTCCCTCCTGCCTTGATGTCCATAGGCCACCAGAGAGGTGGAATAATCACTTTTTGCCAACTGGCCTGAAGTAAGTGGAGAGGGGTTGAGGTCCCATCTTGTCTCTGTGTCACCATGAACCTTGGCAAGTCATTTCCTTACCTTTGTTCTCATCAGTAGAACATGAAGGTGGGTCAAAGTGATCTGCTATGTGGTTCCTAGACAGTCGGAGAAAAAGCACTCGTGGTACAAGGAGATCCATTTGAAACTGGTAAAAATAGCTCTAATACTTTCATGCCTGGTTAGCAGGGGAGCCTCCGTGGTGCAGTGATTAAGAGCTTGGCTGCTAACCAAATGGTCGGCAGTTCTAATCCACCAGCTTCTCCTTGGAAACCCTATGGGGCAGTTCTTCTCTGTCCTGTAGGGTCACTATGAGTCAGAATCGACTTGACAGCAGTGGGTTTGGTTTTTGAATAGTTTCATGCCAGATTAGCAGTAGTTTAGGGTAGGCAAACTATGCCCCATGGGCCATGTCTGGCCTACCCTCTGTTTTTGTAAATAAAGTTTTATTGAAACAGCCACACCCATTCATTATCTATCAATTGGTCTTATGCTACAACTCAAGAGTTGAGTGTGACAGAGACCATCTGGTCTGCAAAGCTGGAGGTATTTACTGTCTGGCCCTTTGCGAAAAAGGAGTTTGCTGGCCCCGTGTTAGATAATCATAGTCCTGCTCTTAAACAAGATAGTCACCACCTTTTCTGAAAGAAGAGGAAAACTCTCCGTATAATGATTTAGTAAAATGTGATTTAAAGACAAAAACTGCCCAAGAAAAGAATGTTTCTGGTTAACATGGACCCTGAAAAGCCTTTGAGTATCTATACCAAATATCTGGCTTCTAGGATCTCATACAGGTTTGGTTCAACAGGTTTTAATTGTAAGCTGACCCAGAAGCTGCTTGTCCCCTCAAAATGTATGTGAGAGGTTTTGACAGCAACCTATCTTGTGTGCTAGGGATCTTACTTTCTAGGCTTTCAAGTTTTTAAATGAGCATAACTATGATACCTCACTTTTCTCTTCCCTTTTCTGTTCCGCCGGCGTTTAGGTTATTGACATTTCCATGATCTTGGCGGAGGCTATCCGAAGAACGCACAACGGTGAATCCGTGTCTTACCTGTTCAGCCATGTTCCCTTATAACTCGCAATTGTCATGTGTCGGACAAGCCCGCTCTTGACTTCTTTGTCTGTCTGTTTTTGTTGTTGTTTTTCTTTTTTTTTTTAAGATTTAGGACTAACACTTATAGGATAATGGGTAGTAAAATCTTCAGATCTTTGTATTCTCTGAGATTCATTTTTCCCCCCTTTGAAAGCTTGAGGCCACTCATTTCCAGTTCTCAGGGGAGGGCCGTGGTTATTTGGCTTTTAAGCGAGAGAAATGTTTGTGTCATCTTGACTTGTTCTGACCTTTTCCTTTGTCTTTCAGTCCTTGAAAGCCACAGCATTTCGAGTATATAATTTCATTGTGGGAGCTCATAGTTTATATATTTCTGGGCTTGCCAGAGTGACTTCACGTTAAAGCCTCTTGTGTAAATAGATGATGATAATGCCCATGGGCATTTGGGTAAAACCTTGTGTAGAAAGCCGGTTAGTTTTGAGCGAACCTGAAAAATTTTATAATACTGTAAATTTTGATTTTTTTTTTTAAAGTAACCAGGGTTGAAATAAACCACCTTGGTTATTGTGCTTAATTTGAACCAGTTTTTATTTAGCTTAAGGTAGCCATCAATGCGTCTAGCTTTCCATGGAGGTCAGACACATCAGAGGCCGTGGAGTTCAGTATCTTTTTTTTATGACCACTCCTGAAAACCATGTTATAACTGTCTCTTAGCTGGAATTCCATGTCCTGAAATTCTGACATTTTGCTCAGCAGTGGATCTGATTATGAAACCGTTTTGAGATGCAGCCTCTGAGCACACTGCCACCTTGATGCTCTCCTCCTTGCGTTCCTGTTGGAAGTGGGAAGGTGCGGGCAGACTCCCCAGTTCTTTGAGGTGCACCTCACATCCGGTCATCTTGTTCTTTTACATCGTATTTTTAGCTATAGCTGCCCCTTTTCATTTTTACCCAACAATTTCATGTTGTGGATTTCCACCAGAGTAGACGCCCTCGTAGCCCCTCAGATCTACCAGTCCGATTATTACCTTGCTTTTGACATAAATAAAAAGGCATGTTTTTATGGGTGCTACCAAACGCCTGTTTAAACAGTATGTCTTTATCTTTGATTAAATATTTTTTTGTCCTGAGTAGTTGGAGGTAGCAAGTCTCTAGGCAACTGATGATTTTAACTGAAGTTTTTACATGAAAAATGTAGAGAAAAGTACAGATAAGTAAACTTTAATTGCTCCTTAAGGATAATGTTCAAAAACGTCCCCAAAGTCTTCACGGAGGGGAAATTCCCTGAGATTGTATTACCACAGATGGTCTTCCCAGTGTTCTCCTAAGTGAGGTGCCCGGCTGCCTCCTTGGTGGGAGCCAGTCTTTGGACTGTTTGTAGATTTTGTTACATGCACATTGATGGGACAACCCACTGAATAATTCCGCCTCCAAAGAAGAGATTTGCCTGCATAGACAAAGCCTAGGAATAATAAACAACAATCTCTCCCTTCTCCGAATTTTAATACTCGTAGAAAATAAATCGGCCAAAATTCTGTGAGTGGAAAATCAAATCTATTTTGGTCATGAACAACTAGAACAGCAGTATTGAGGGTTTCAAACTTTACCACAGCAGAGGTTGAATTGAAGTTATAAGGTAACATTTTAGTTGTTGTAGGAACTAGCATTTTACTCTACCTTAAAACGGCTGTTGGGAAAGGATGATATTGGGACGTGGAAAAGTCAGCTATGCAGTACAGTTAGCCTGAGATGTGTGAAGAGCCTGATTTGATGCTATGTAACTTTTATTGGGAAACCCTGGTGGCATAATGGTTAAGCGCTATGGCTGCTAACCAAAAGGTTGGTAGTTCAAATCCACCAGGCGCTCCTTGGAAACTGTATGGGGCAGTTCTACTCTGTCCTGTAGGGTCGCTATGAGTCGGAATTGACTCGACGGCAGTGGGTTTAGTTTTTTTGTTTTTTGTTTTTTAACTTTTATTAGATAAATGTGTGTTATCTCTATTTGTTGGGGTTCCTTTGCATAGAGAAGTGGAAATGTAGTTGTGAACACCCATGTGGTCAGCTTGATATACAAGTGTAGATGTGTTGACATTAATGAAAACCAGTTGATTTCAAGATAATCATTTTGTCTGAGATCATGATCTATAGATAAAAAACTGGGCATGAAAATCTGCGTCTCTGAGTTAAGAAGTGATTGTTTCTATCATAGTTTAACCCCCCACTTTTGTATTTTCAAGTACTTTTGAATGTATCTATGAACTAATTAGAGTGGACTTAGATATGTGCAGTGGAAATGTGGATATTAACTCTTCCATGATTTCACTTCAACAAAAATGATGACGATCGCCTCATGAGGAGCTTCATTCCAGAACTTTCACGTTCCTTGCTGCTTGGAGTGTAGAAGTTTATAAGTGATGCCACCAAATATTTTTATTCTGTCCAACTCAGCTGAATGTGGGTGGGCTCGGTGTGTATCTAGACAAGAAGGAGAGCCAGAGAAATGTGAATATACCAAAGTTGTTTTGCCTCACACTTAAATTATACTAGTCAATTTATAGATATTCATACTGTAACTTTCCTCTCTTAGATATGATCTCAACTCCATTCAGGAATAGATCATTGGCAGCACTTGTATTGGCATAGAGTATGGCATTTTAAGTTTCTCCAGCATTGTGTTAGAACATTTCAATAAAATCCTGTTGCTGACTACACCTTCCTTTGTTTGTGTCCTCATTGTGGAGTTCTCTGTTGTGACGGGGCACCTGAACGTGTTTGTTTCTTTACAGTTATGGCCCACCATATAAAATCACAGAAAAGCCGGAAGTTAATTGAAGTCAGCTCTTACCATTTTGAACGTGTTTCTTTTTGAAGACCTTATTAGCAATTTCCTTTCCCATAAGCATAGCAGTTGTACCACAGAAGGCATCCAAGTTGAGAATTCTGGAGGCTTCATATAAAATTAAAGAGTGCACAGTCTGTTTACATCAAAGAGTGATGTTCCATAGCCATCCATAGGAGTAGACCAGACTTAAACGTAGACCACAAGAAGTCGTTCGTGGGCTTTGATTTCAGAAGCACCTCAAAAGGGTTTCCTTCCCCATAAAACACCTGTTCAGTGATGCTTTGCTCTCTTGGGGACAAAGTACTCTCTTGGGGAAAAAGTAAATTTATAATTTGGTTCCACCACTAAAGCTCAACTCTAAAGTGTAGATAACTTTTGAGAGTTAGCAACACGTTGTCTTAAAATCACAGTGAAATGTAAATAACGAAAGCCAGGCCCATTTCTGAGAAAAAAGATGATCACAGGTTGAGAGAACATGATAGAAGGTACCGAAAAGGAGGAGGGAAGCGAAGGAGATGTGGAAACAGCAAAACACAGTTGGCCAACTGTACAGTGTCACGTCTTACCACAGCCATGCCTCTTCAGAAGCAAGTGTTCTATATGGCAAGGCCTACCAAGTCCTCTGACTAAACCATAGGGGGACAGGCTAAGTGTTGAAGGGAAGGATCAAGTACTAGGGTATCCAGAGGATCGGGCTGGGGAGAGCAGAAAGGGTTTCATGAAGGAGCTGCCATTAGAGATGTTTAACCACAGAATTTTCTGGAACCCAGTGGCTGTATTCCAGCAGGGACAGAGCAGGACAACATAGAGTGAGTGAGGACATCCAATAAAGATGGAAATAAGGGCTGAAACATATTTTCCCTTTACCCCTCAGTAAGCGAACTTCATAGCTCTTGCACTAAGAGCTGTGAAGTTCCTTTACTGAGGGGTAGATAAAGGGAAGATACGACACTGTTATCAGGAGGGACCAGGCCCTGGAGAAGGACATCATGCTTAGTAAGGTCGAGGGTCCACAGAAAAGAGGAAGACCCTCAACGAGATGGATTGACACAGTGGCTGCAACAGTGGGCTCAAACAGCAATGATTGTGAGGGTGGTGCAGGACCTGGCAGTGTTTTGTTCTGTTGTACCCAGGGTCGTTATGAGTTGGAACTGGCTCAAAGGCACCTAACAACAACAAGGGATCTCACTTTGCCCTTGAATTAATTATTCATCTAAACTGCATGGAGAAGTCAACAGAATGACGCCTTTTCACTACAGATACTCATCTTACTGATAGATCTCCTTCCACCCGGGAACACATCCTTTTTCCTGCCCTAGCTTTCCAAGACCACGTTCTGAGTGGCTCACTTTCCACTGCAGTCACACTGAGCTCTACTTTCTCTTCTGAAAGAGCCTGATGTTCAGACACACAGACCCCACCGCTTACTGGAGTGAAGCAACTTCCAGCTAGTTACTTAACCTCCCCTGCCCTCCATGCCTCAGTTTCCTTGTCTGTGAAATGAGATAGTACGTCCCTCGTAGGATGGTTGTGAGGATTAAATGAGAGAATATTTGTAAAGTGCTTAGAGCTGTTCGGTTTGCACATTAATCCAATTTTTAGAGCCGGCATCTTTAATTTTCCTTCCGGAAGAATGTAAGTAGGTATGAAGAAGAAAGATTTTCATGCACTCTAGGTCCTAACCCAAGTGCCTGTGAGCGAGTGGTGAACACAGTCCCCTCCCCTACCATTTTCGAAGGGCTACATCATCTTGGCATGTGACTGCCTCACTCGAGGGTCGCATTTAGAGGATAATAAATCCTTGTATGTTGAAAATACTTCAAATGGGCTGCAGAAATGACTTGCAGGAAGGAATGCCAGTGGAGACGGTGGTCAGTTGAGGCTATTCCCAACAGCACGATTTGATTCTAGCCCTAATTCTCCATTTCAACATAAATGCAACGGAAAGTGGTGCCCAGTATAACTGGCAAGAGCAGTTCTCGCTGTTTCAGCAGCTGAGCTCTGTGGCCAAAAGGAAAGCCAGGTGAACTCATCTCACATTAAAAGTGAGCAGTAAAAAGGAAACGAGAAAGCAAAAAAAAAATAACTCAGTGAAAAGTGCTCTAAATTGGGAGTGTGGCAATCTGGAGTCTGGTTCCTGATAGGCTGTTGAGAAGCCATGTGACCTTGGGAAAATGTCTGTGCCTCTCTGAGGCCGAGTAAATGAGAGGGTGGATGATTGCTGCCATCTCCAGCAGATTCAATAGTCCACGCCATCTAGTTTACATTTAGTTGGAATATTTCTGTTAACTGCAAGCTATGGTTCCCGGGGGGTGAAGATGGTTACTTTGCTGTCAGGTGGGCAGCTCATCCAGGTTTGCCTGGGACTTTCTCAGTTTTTGCACTGAAAAGTCCTGTGTCCTGGGAAACACCTCAGTCCTGGGCAAACCGGGGTGGTTGGTCACCCTACTTCCCTCTCTCTTAAGGTGGATGGTTCTGGAACCCAGCGCCGCCTTGGCTAAGGAATCCCGTGAGCAGGGCTCTGAGCTTGTGGCCGCTTGGAATGACAGGGAAGCAGGCTATATGACAAGCCCAACAGTGTGCCAACCACCTGGGGCATCATGGTTCTTTCTAAGTTCATTTCCTAGGGTGTGGAGACTCAACTCACCCTAGAAGCTGAAGAGCTGTTGTCAAAAATAAGAGAGGGAAAAAGGAGGGTCACGTCTCGGAAATGCTTTCCTGACCTGGCTTGGTTCTCACTCCTTCGGCACAGCTGCCTTTAGTGCCCTAAGTGGTCTTTGGAGATCCTGGGGACAGTCCAGGCAGAAGGCCGAGCGCCCCCATTTGCTGAGGGACATTGAGGAATTCTTACATTTGTGAGGACTCGGCCATCTGTGTCTGAAGGGGCATGTTGGTTTTACTGTTAGCTTGCCGTCTAGTCAGCCTCAACTCATGGCAACCCCAGGCACAACGGAATGAAACGCTGTCTGGTACTTCGCTGTCCCTATGATCGGTTGCAGATCGGACCATTGTGATCCGTACGCTTTTCATTGGCTGATTTTCAGAAGTAGATCACCAGGCCTTTCTTCCTAGTCCATCTTAGTCTGGAAGCTCCACTGAAACCTGTTCAACATCACAATAACACACATGCCTCCACTCACAAATGAGTAATGGCTGCACATGAGGTGCACTGGCCGGGATCTGAACACAGGTCTCCTGCAAGGAAGGCAAGAATTTTACCATTGAACCACCACTGCTCCCCTCAGGTGCATAATTCTGGGATTTTCTCTAGACAAGGGGAGGTAAGTCTAATACCTTCTTCTATTGCAGCCAAGACTGACCATGAATTACAGAAAAATTTTGATGACTATAACTAAATTTGTCACTCTTCACAATCATCAAAATGACTATTTTTAGATAAATTTTTTTATTGTGCTTTAAGTGAAAGTTTACAGTTCAAGTCAGTTTCTCATACAAATATTTATATACACATTGCTATGTGACCCTAGCTGCTCTCCCTATACTGTGACAGCACACTCCTCCTTTCCACCCCTGATTTCCCGTGGCCATTCAACCAGCTCCTGACCCTCTCTGCCTTCTCATCTCACCTCCAGACAGGAGCTGCCCATTTAGTCTCATGTATCTACTTGAGCTAAGAAGCACACCCTTCACAAGTATCATTTTATGTCCCACAGTCCAGTCCAGTCTTTGTCTGATGAGTTGGCCTCGGGAATTGTTTTAGTTCTGGGCTGATAGAGAATCCAGGGGCCATGCTTTCTG